AGGAGGCAATGCTTACCTGTTATCTCAGATACATACTTGAAGTAAAAAGATAACTTTCCAGGAACAGTTTTGGTTATTAAAGATTTTTTTTTTCATTCACGAGACTCCCTGATATAGAACAAGTTTATTCTTCTACAAATATTACTTGGGATTCAGAGTTAGCAGAGAAATGAAGGAACAGTTGCATCTGCTCCACTCCTTAGGTCCTAGGATGAGTGACAAATTAGTCCACAAAATTCAGACAAGACGCAGATGTACAGTAACATTAGTCGCACTCTAGATCTGCATGCTCGTTACATCGACAGTGAGTCCTGCACAGGCAACTGCGTGTGGAAGGGCTGCAGATGCTGGAGTGTAGATAATGCGGGATTTTCTTGACAGTATTGTGTGGTGTAAGTAGTTCTTAATCCACAGCATGAGTTATAAGTGAGAGCACAGAAGGCATCAGGCTTGTGAGAGCCACTTCAGGATTCTGATGAGACAACCAGCTGGGTCTTTATTTCTATGCTTTAAAGATATTTAGGCATTGAGCACTAACAAAACTATATTAAGTAATGTGTATTGAGAATATAACCTTTTTTTGCTTGTGAATCCGTCCCATTTCTTCTTAATATTCTAATTGTTTACAGGTTTCCATGTGCAACTTGTATGAAACTTTGTTAAAATCTTAACTTGGTCATGTCATACTTGTTATTTTGTATGATTGGCTACCTTATTAGGTTTCCTGGGAGAACAAGAAGCAGAGTTAAGAAGTTCTGCTTCTTATTAACTAATATCTGAGAAGTTTCTAGTATTCTCTAATAGTTTCCATTATTATCCGAGTTGGTTGTGCATAACTGACAGAAATTCACACAAAAAGTAAAGTGAGTTGGTGTTACTATAGCTGAAAACTGTAGGTGCATTTTCTTCAGCTGATCTTGTTTTATAGCTGAACTAAATGTTCAGTTTAATCACCTTTACAGAAAAGGGCGAAGGAGTTAAAATAGCACAATTCACTCACCTAGTCGTTCCCATTTCCAAAGCTTTGTTTTCAGTGCTGCATTTTGCTTTAAGTCACAACGGGTGTTTTTAAATACCAAGAAATTGGCCAAGATTTTGAACCTTTTGTGCCTCATTTAGGGCATGGTCAGTGCCACGTACATTATAAAGACAAGCACAGGCAGCCCCATCAGGAGGGCTCAAGGCTGGGAGCTCTGACTCCAGCTTTACTGTTTATCTGCTGTCAGTGATGCAAAGGGACCATGGCCCGCTTGTGCTTCTGCTTTTCCTGCTGCCCTACATACGCATTACGTACTGAGAACTTGAGGAGTTATGGTTCTTCTGATGTGCAGTTTCAGTGGGACTTCTGGGTGCTAAAGTTGTATGGGTAATGGTATAGGAGGCTTGTGATTTAGGATATAATTGTGTACAGTCACTGAGGTAGACTGTTAGCGCTGTAATATCCGAGTTGTCATAGCAAGTCCAAGTGTGTTAGCAACCTGGCATGCTCTTGTAGACCCATGTTAGTATAACGTATTGCAAATATTTGTAATAAAGTGGCTGGTGTTAATAACTCCAAGGAGAACAAACTTGCAATCCTCATATAACTCACGTTTTAAAATCTTTTTCCCTCCCTCATAAGGCTTTGGCAGCTCGACTACATCTGGGTTTAACTTCAGCAATCCTGGCATCACAGCATCAGCTGGCCTGACATTCGGGGTGTCTAATCCTGCGTCTGCAGGCTTTGGGACAGGAGGGCAACTTCTTCAGCTAAAGAAACCTCCAGCTGGAAACAAGCGAGGGAAAAGATAGGCACCACTTTTAGGGAAGGGGAAGTGAATCAACTTTGTTCATCTGAAAAGTCTATTTTTCTAGATTGATGCATTATTAAATTGCATCCCAGGAGATTTATAAAAAATTTTGCTACTTTTCCCTGGTCTGAAATACAAAATTAAATCATACTGAACAGCTATTTTCTTGTGAATAGAAACTCGTTTATGTATTTTTATTTTTGGCCCTAGTTTTAGAAATGTTCTATATGGCATTATTATTAAAGAATCTTGTAAAACCATCTATTTAACCTGATGTTAGTAGCAGAATATTTTTTGTTAATAAGCTTTATACCATATGAATATATGCATATTTGTTTTTTGTACAGATAAAATATATTCTAGTACAAATACTAGAGTTCATATCTTCTGTTTCTGGATATGGCCTTTAAATCTACTTCAGGGTGTTTCCGTGTATATGGATGTAAATATATACAGTACAGTGCACACATCTGTGTGTATGTATGTGTATATATATGTATAAAATACAGATGTGCAAACCTTGCCCCATAGACAGGTCTCCTTTCCTCTGTGTATGCTGTTTCTTCATGTTGCCCTGTGGTCCCATATCTTGATGTTCCCAGGAGCTTCGAACAGCAAGTCCCGGGCTATGTTATCATTGCTTCTTGTGTTTTCTCATTTTAAGACCAGCTGAACTACAGTGTTTACTGTTTCATAAGATTTCGTAAATAGTGTCTAGTAGCCGGATTTTTTTAACCTTCTATTGTTAAAGTGTTATTACCATTTTGTATGTTTTGGAAATGTCTGCATTCAGCAGCGATTGCTCTTCAACAAATGTTCAGTTTGTCACTTGATCTGATAAAACTAAGGGAAACTGAGCACAGAATTCTTCACTTTTGTACTTGTATGTTATTGCATCTTTGTGAGCAGTCTCTTAGGAAGGGATATAATGTGGGAGTTTATGTCTCAGAAAAATAAAGCTTACAGTTTATTTTGATTTCAACCTTTTTTAAACTTCTATTGGGCTGCAGTCAAAACTGTAATGTTTGTATTCCTTTGTTATTGCTTTTTTTAATAGTTAATATGTTAAACCACTGGACTCTCTTGTAATGTATTAATTTGTGAAACTAATTCTAAATGTGTACTGTTTGTCCATATGTGCAACTCACCATTGTGTAAACAATAAAACAATAATGCTGTGATCCTTGCTATACATATTTGCCTGTTTGAAAGATCATTTCCTGTTTTTCTCCTGTGTTACAGGAGAAACAAAAAACCTCATTGGCTAATATCTGGAATTGTTTTCCCTAGAACTTATGTAGTGCAGAATTGTTCTTGCTGAAGTCAGGGCCTTGATCTCTGCATTGAAGGAGGGTGAAGGGAGGTACTGTATGGGCTTGTCGAGGATCTCTTCACACCATGCCGCATAAACCTGGATCCTGCTGTAATGTAGCACTGCAGTAGATAGGGCTTTGTAAATTGGGAGGCAGGCTGAGTGTCCCAGGTACCTGTGTGCTGTTTCTTTTCACAGTGTGGCATCAGTTACGTCCTTGACTTAGCCTAAGTGAAAAAGTGATTATGTAATAAAGAATTACATGCTGGAGTACAAACTAAAGTCAAAATGGCATTTGACACCATTATATTCCCAGAGTATTACTTGGTTGGTGGATTTACCCATTATTTTCAGGGATCAGCATTGTATACATTTGCAAATGATTTTTTTTCCCCAATTTAAAGACATGTAGTATAATTAGAGTACAAAATATACAGTCAAGGTGTGGCTTGGTTTTCTACAAGGCAGGTTAAGTAGCTGACCTGTACTTAAACACCATGAAATGAAATCAAGTCTCGATTATTTGTTCTGTAAAGAAAGAAAAACATGTACCAGAGGAAGGTTGAAGTCACATATGCAGGATGTGGTTCTCTATTATTTTTATACCTTGTTGTGCAGCTGGTGCTGTAAACTTACTTATGCAACCTCTTTCTTTTATTAACTTGTTTTTTCTTCCCTGTTCTCCATACGATGAATGTAGCAGGAGGTAGGATAGCGTTATGCCTTAAATTGCTTGCTTCGTGAACCTCTTCCTTGTCCAGCATCTCAAAACATCCTTTATGCTCCCATTTGTCCCTGACAAGCTGGCTAGCTAGATACTACCATACTTAGTGCATTCTTGCAGATTGGGAGGGAGGAGGTTGAAATAAGGTGAAGTTGAATGGAGTTCATGCATCTTCGTCACCACGGGCCTCTGAAATCCAAATCCAGTTATACCCCCTCCATCTGCGTATTGATAACATAACTGTATTTTGAACCTTGATTGTTTTTATAGCATTTTTTAAATGAAAATAAAGTTCAGGAATACAGGTTTAGTGGCTTTTTTTCCTCTTTGACATCAGTGGCAATTCTTTGGTTTTTTTCCAGTCCTTTACTCGTGTTAAAAGTAGAAACAATCCAGAGTCGGTCATGTCAACTCTTCTTACCTATTACTGGTTCTAATACCTGCGATGTCTCAGCAGAGGATATCAGAGAAGCAACTTGTAGATTATTAGTGAGAAATTAATAACTGTGTAGAAAAATCCATGCATAGTGCACTACAAAAGTTTGTTTCCCTGACACACAAGTGTAGAAGAACAAAGAGCTGACTATATACACAAAGAATTCAGCAACAAATTATGCTGGTTTTGGACTGATTGCTGAGATTGTGCTGTTAGGCTGTTTCCCTCTTCCCTCTCATTTTGGCACTGTGACTGCTATCTCCAGACACTGGTGGATGGTTAAAGCATCGCAGTAGTAGGTTTGTACCGCTTCTTATGACCATCACTGATTCGGCTTGGGGTGGGGAGTGATACTGAGCTGGTGCCTGCATGGTTGCCCACTGCGATGGTGCATGTGAAGCTTCAACCCAGCTATTACACGCAGTCTCCCACCAAACTGGACAGGTAGGTTGATTAAAAGGAGGATGGAGGTGATGAGGGGGAGGAGAAGCGTGGGGAGAGATGAGGGGATGAAGAGGACAAGGCTCCCTATTGTGAACGGGGAAACTCGCTTTAAGGCTGTTTGAAATAATTTCTTTTGAACTTGAGTGGTTATACGCTGGTATCTGTTTGTCCCAAACATCTGAATTTGTAATACCTATTTCTTGTGTTGGTTAAATGTTGCGTTCA